AGGCTTATCANACCATATTCACCGAGAAAGGGCGGGACATTAACGCTATTATCATATAGCCTATCCAAAATGACACAGTAAAGAGTGACACATTCCTGTAGAACGCATACATAACTTAAATTATGTAAAAAAAACCGTTACAGTCAATCCCCTATCTTCCCGTCCGCTAGCCACTGTACCTGTGCATCTTTCCCCTACTCCAAGGACCGGCATATTGAGTCTAAATTGGCGTCAGTCAGTTCTTCAAAGAAAAATCGCGTTGTCCATTGTATGCCCTTACAGTGTAATCGTTTTACCTGTTCCACTGGGTTCATATGAGTTCACCGGAACATTGGCAAGGGGTCATGTTCTATCTGGGTCATCAGCAGGGAACATGTATTCCTTTGGAACATAACTCAAGTTATTTTTGGATTTTTTAGAACACAGCGGTTGTTCTATATGGGTCACCTGAGGTCATATGCGGGTGATTACTGGGTTTGTTTAATGTATGGATTGGGATGAATAAATACCCGATTTTGACTCTATTTGTGACATTACGGCGTCATAAGGAATGTGGAATGGAGCCTTCTGATTGGTCAACGTCACCCGGCTATATGATAATATTGATTATTATGTGATACACTGCATTAATTAAATGTCGTTAAAGGCTGCGACTGCACGGGTACTGTTTTGACAATAAAAAATCATTTAAATCAACTTTGTAGAGACCAATTCAACACACAGCAACCTTGAAACATAAATCTTTATTCAGTTTCCAAAGAGGTCATGACTAGGATGTATGTAATTAACCCAGTACCAAAATGTACTGGTGCGATTTGCTATCGGGGATTGCAGAAAATATTTACAACAACAGTCAGTCAAAAATATACAAGACAATACGCATGAGACTTTGGCTGTCTCATTTCAACAAAAAGTAGCAATTCTGTTTGTTCTTAAATCTTTTGCTATTAACTTTGAGTTTTACAGAGACAACTGTGTAATGACTATGAAATCTATCTACAAAAATCACCAAAAGACGTTGTATATTATACTGTATATTGTTTCCGTATATGTTCAGCAGAAATTCAGGCCAAGTAGCAGCACTATAATATGTATGGAATGTAACATTCAGGAAAAAGAACAGCCCTTCTAGTAGTACAAAATTTCTTACAACTTTGGTAGACTTTTCTGAGACAAGGCATATTCAATACTGGGAATGTACACAGCATTTGTATTAACTTTAACTACTTTTGTTACATGTGCAGAGATACTTGAGTCAGAGTCATTGTGAAATTGCTATATTTTAACATACATCATATTGTAATGTATTTGTGATATTTCTAGATATGATTGTTTGCTATCTTTTTTTATTTGTGCATTTTGCCAACACAAGTCAAGAGGATGCATGAGTGTTGTGGGAATTTCCATGTCAAATCCTCTTTATTTAGAGTTGACAAACTTATGTTACCCTCCCTAATGCAAGAAATTCTGGCTATTCTATGAACTGCGCTCACTCCCACATGTCCGCGTACGGGTCTATCTGTCTCTCGGTGTACGCCTTTCTGAACTTCTCGTCAAACATGCCGAGGTCACCCTCGTCTCTAAGCACGCCCTGCAAGGACAACAAAAAACTGTCAATAACAACAACAACAACAAATGAGAGATTTCAAACTTATGGGCTTTTTTCACTTTCAATTAGAACTGTGAAGGGGATCTCTGGTGTAATTTAATTGGGTATTACACCATTTCCTGAGTGGCATGCACTGAGCCACCTTCAGGCTTGATTCCCTATCAATCACATGTCAAAATCACCTCCCAACCACTATGCCACAGAAGCAACAAAAGACAAATGACTCGATAATGGTGACGATAAGTTCATAGTACAAAAACAGTGTACACTGACAGTGAAACCAGTGTACATAAAAGTACCCTGAAAAAAAATCAGGAATTACAGTAGGTTTTGGAAGGAATCCTACCTTTGGAAGGTATCCCAGCAGCCTCTCTGCATGTTCTCGGAGCAGTTTTTGCCGCTCTTCCTCGATGATCTGTCGGCGGAAGGCCTGCGCCCGCTCCTCTTCCATACGCTCTGCCAACTCACGCTCCTGAAACAAAAAAAGGGAGAGGTCAGTGTTCTTGTGCCTTCATATTGTTTCCACTAGGACAACCCTAGGATGTTGTCCTAGGAGTTTTTGCTCATACATTTACAAATAAAGCATAATGTGGTTGATACAAGCATTTCCTACTGTCTGAATAGAAAATACGGAAGTTGCTCAAAAATGTTGATGACATTCCAAAATGTACGAAATTCCTTACATTTCCAAAAAGGACAATTTTAATCTCCTTTTTTTACTTGCTTCATCTTTCTTTGACAATAGAAGCCTGGATTTTTCCACCCTTTTTTCACTTCTGCCAAAATATTCCAGGCAGCTTTTTTGGATTCTAAATTTTTTATCTTTTGAAGATTCTGAAGAAGTTCCCTCACCCTGTCCTCGGCAAACTGTTTCCTCCTGTCTTCAATAAGTTTCTCCACGGCACGTTTGTGCTCCAGCTGCTTCATGCGTCTCTTCTGCGCGTTCATCTGCTCGATTCTGTCGTCCTCCGCAAACTTCGCCAACATCTGCTGACGGAAGTCTTCTTCCTCTTCTCTCTCCGCCTAAAGAAAGTCAATTCAAGTCAACTTTAAAACATGTGGGAATCTTCAAATTCAAATGTGTGGCGTCGGGTGGTGTAGTGGTTAGAGCAATCGACTGTGAACCAGGAGACCCGGGTTCGATTCCGAGTCGTACCCGGTACATGTCTGAACATGCGCCCCGACGTTGTGCCCTTGGGAAAGGCACTTTACACGACTTTCCTCACTCCACCCAGGTGTGAATGGGTACCTAACTTCGGTTGGGGAAAGTCGTATTGAGGTCACCTTGTGGCGCCGAATGGCAGCCGCACAGACCCTTGCGACAGTTCCACAAAAATGATTGTGGAACAAATATGTGCATTATTTGTATTATTTGATTGTTGTAATTGTTGTGATTTGTATTGATTATTATGTGATACCCTGCACCAATTCAGCCGTATAAAGGCTGCGACTGCACGGGTACTGTTTGGACAATAAAAACAATTTAAAACAATAAATTCTAGTAGAAGCAAAATTGTGGAACAATCATCCTGTTCTAGAATTCACAATTTGTAACAATCATCCCATTCTAGAACTTACATTGTAGAACAACTTTCCCATTCTAGAAGTGACATTGTGGAACAACCATCCCATTCTAGAACTTACAATGTGAAACAATCATCCCATTCTAGAAGTGACAATGCAGAACAATCGTCCCACTCTAGAATGTAGTAAAATCATATATAGATCCAGACCTTAGCTTCCTATCATGATAGCATAAGAATCATTAATGGACTTAAATTAAGGTAACATTGGCAACACAAATTCATAATGTTTACCTTCATAGGGTCTAGCCTGTCAAAGTACTGCTTTGTTAATTCTTACTCAAACATATATATAGTGACCAGCCTCTTCTAATGTCCTGCAACTTGCAACATAATGTAACCCAACACCACTGTATCTGCTACAGTACCAGTTACCATGGTGACAGACGTCTGGTCCAGGTCATTGACCTTAGAAGAAGAAGAGCAAAAACAATGTTTTCTTTCTGCAAAGGTAAACACAATGAAGAACTGCCCACCTCCTGCCGGAGTCTCTTGTACTCCAGTTGTTCACGGTGAGTTTTCTGCAGCTCCAGCCTTTGTCTGATGCGGCGCTCAAACTCGTCCATCTCCTTCTGTCTCTCCGCCTCCTCCTGCTCCTCCAGAACCAGTTCCATCCGGATACGCTCCATCTCATCCTGCTCCTCCTTCGCTGCCGCAACCCGCTTCGCAAGCTATAAAAAACAAACAAAAAAACAAACAAACTGGTTAGACAGAGGGGACAACAGATACACTTGCTGGATTAAGTAGGCCCAGGCTATATCAGAGAGTCTACTCAATCCAGTCTGTGATGTGATGAGGGGGGATACAGGGTTAGTCACATTTGGGACTGTATTCTTCTCACTGCAGCTCCACCTAGCAACAGTAGGTAGTAGTACAAGCCATTTCTGCTTTGAGAAAAGTAGCAAAAGGGCTAGAAAATGTTAGCAGGTAATTGTTGCAAGTTGTATACAAAGACCCCAATAATTTTGAAGTCCAAGACTAGATAAAAACTACACAATAAAGAGACATCTTCCATACATGACGGTAACAAGTTTCACAATTTCATTTGAGACCACAGGAAGTTGGTGACTGACCTCAGACTGTACTTTGGCCTTGGCTTCCTCCCGTTCTTTCATCTCCGCCATACGCTGTTCTTCCCGTGCCTGCTGAACCGACGCAAACTCCAGGATTCTGTAGGAAAAAATCAGCATTGTCTCATTTCAGTATACATATGTACAAGGAGTACAATGGAAAGCTATTATTACGGCTGCAATGGCATAGTGGGTAGAGTTGCAAGTTCAAACCCTAGCTAAGTCATGCCAAATGCTTCAAAATTGGTACATACTATGTAGCTATTGTAAAAGATCCAGAGGGTTTTCCCAACATCTGCTTGGAGATTACTGCAAATCTTGAAATGTCCATAGTGTTTTTTTCCATGGTTTAAGCAGTTACCTCTTTCTGCAAAATCATAATACTGCAGATACATGTATGTATCTTATAATTATACCATATTACTGTTTCAATCGCGAACTTCAAATACTGCAAAAACCTCAGTCTTTTCTGCTCCTATCTGAAAATTAAAACCATCCCAAAAGTTAACGCATTTACACTAACTATAGCTAGATTACTATAGATGTGACCCCTAACCTTCTGTTCTCCTCCTCCATCCTCTCTCGTTCCAGCCGTTTCCAGTCCTCCCGTTTGGTCTTGAACTCCTCGATGAAGCGCTGCGTGGCGCGCTGCTTCTCCAGCTTCATCTCCATCTCCCGCTGGTCCTCCTCGTAAATCTTACGCACGATCTCGTCTATCATCAGCTTCTCCTGCGAGGTGTCGCAAAAAAAAACAGTTGAATAAACTAGAAAGGTAACATTTGCAAAGCAAATGCATAATGTTTACCCTCACATATGGTCTGCTCTGTTAATTCTTACTCAAACACAATCATATATATGGGCAGACAGGAGTCTAAATCCCTCCTGCTATAAAACTGCAACATGATGTAACCCATCACCAGTTACCAAGGTGACAGATGTCTGGTTCTGGTCAGTGACCTTTAGTGTTTAGAACAGAAGAAGAAACAGAGCAAAAATAATATGTTTTCCTTCAGTAAACATAAACATAAAAGTTTAAACCCTACTCATAGTAAGTCCATTATGAACTCCTCTTACAAAGCAATGTCAAGAAAAATGGCTTAAACCCGAATGCCAACATCCGCAAGCAAATATGGAATATTCCCCTCTACATCTTTTCAAAATGTTTGCCAAATCATATCAGAAATACCTCCTTTTTATGACATTGTTGAACACTACATATGCTAGGATTAACCTACAGTGCTCCATATTTACTGTTAAGTTCCCATAGAGTAACCGTTTTGATAGGCAATGAAAACTGAAAACGTCTTGATTTGAGAGCTAAGGTAAGACACGAACCTTGAGGAACTCCTCGTAAGCCTGCTGTTTCTTCTGCTCCTGTTCCTCCAGCTGTCTCTCCAGCTCCTGCTGGTAGCGGATCTTCTCCAGGTACCTGGCCTCCTCCTGCTCCATCTCAAGCTTGGACGCTCGCTCTGACTCCTCCTTCATCAGCCGAGCAATCTCCGCCTCTCTGGACTGGAGAAAAAAACGCAAACTAGTTAGGTAATGTTGCAAACAAAATATGCAATGTCTACCTTCAGATAGTCTTGCCTAACAATCTAGTGCTCTGTTCAGTCTTATTTGTAAAACACATTCATATACTATGTATGGTGACCAGCCCCCCTATATCTGTCGATCTGTCGTGCCACTTGCTACATAAATATACAGGGAGTCTGCTACAGTGCCAGTTACACCATCTGCTCTAGGTCATTGTATTGAGATGAGATGAGGATAACTACACACCATTTTATCGTACTTGATGGCTTCTTTCTCTGCCAGCTGTGCTGCCCTCTCCTTGTTCAGGTATCCAGCCTTCAGCTTCTGTTCTAACTCACGCAGCTCCAAACTGTGTGAGGAGACAGGACACAGGAAAATCACATCAACACAAGTAATTTTCATCCCCATGAGTGTGTTGCAAACTTCAGCAGCATTTTATTCCCTTTCCTTTAAAGACTAGAAATAAAAACTGTACAAACTGCTTTCTCTGCTTAACATTTATAAGTCAGAGAGTATATGCTAGTTGAACACATCCCACTATCAGTGGACTAGCCCCTGCTGTAGTGCTTGCATAACTTTGTGGCCTAAGTGCTACAGAAATAGAGATAGGCACTGGCCTATATCCCCCAAAAGGTGTGGAAAAGATTCTAACCTTCTCCCTGCTGCCCAGCCCATTAACCAATAGAGAAACATTACCTTCTTGGCGAAGGTAATGAGCCAAACAACTACATTGTACTAGTATTTCAATGTGCTAAAGGTTTATTAACCTTCAGCTTGCTATTACACAGCTATGTACTGGTTACTGAGTGAGGCAGCAGGGGGAAGGTTAAGTCTGGATAACGTAGCACCCTGCTGACCTGTTTTCCCTGATCTGTTGTCTCATCTTCTCGTCCCTCATGGTCTCCAGTTTGATCCTCTCCATCTCCCTGGCCAGTCGGTCTTCCTGCTCCATCTGCTGCTCTCGCTGTTTACGAGACTCCTCTGCCTGGAAGGGACAGAGAGCAACTTTAATATACATTTTTGATTTACATTAACTACAAAAGGCACTGGCACAGTGCAAACTTGATCCAATTACACAAAATTAAACTAGCTAGAAGAAGGACTAGTAGGTGCAATCAAATATTTTAAAGTGAAAAAGTTGCAGTGGTTTTATGTTCATAAATTATCACTGCAAACTTATCATACTGCAAACATACAGGCTGCCTTGCAAGAATGGCATAGCTGCTGTTGTTTCAACCACGAATAAAAAAAATCAGACTTCTGGGAAGTATTTTCATGATCTTCCAGTTTGCCCCATTTCATGTGACTGACCCTTTGACCTCCTGTCATTCTGCCTGTCAATCTTAATCTGCAATCTGCATAAGTATTAGACTGTGAACATCTCCTTTCCCTTTCTGCCAAAAATCCAGTCCTCACAAACTTTTCTTTCTAAAATTTTCATTGTGTTAGAAACTTTCAACATTATCTACCGACCACAATGATGAAGTTTTGCATCCAGCCTACCTTAGCGATGGACTCCTCCATCTCCCTCTCCGTCTGTTCCTGCTGAAGCCGGCGGATGAAGCGTTTGTTCTCCACGCGCTCGTCGGACGCCATGTTGGCGGCGAGGAGGCGGTCCTGGGACAGCATCTTCATGCGGTCCTCCCGCAGCTCCTCCTGGCGCCGGTTCTCCGTCCGCATCCGGTCCTGGTACGCCTGGTCCATCCCACGCCGCAAAGATGCCTGCGAGACACAGGTGGTTTTCTGTCAATCTCCAAGCAGATATGAGGAGGGGACAGGACATCTTTGGAGCTTTTATCATGATACAATACCACTGGCTCACTCCAACAGGTTTTGAAAATATTTCTATGTTCAAAAATTCTATTTGGAAAGATCTAAAATACAACGATGGCTCAAATTTCATAAACAATTGTTTATGCCCCTCCCCCATATAAATACCATTCATTCCCAAACAAGTTGTACTTTTGAAATTTTCACACAGTTCAGTGACACACTAAGTATACACTTAAGAGACACTACAAAAGGCACATTTAAAATGTCTGCACTTGACTATCTGAACAAAATCACGAACAAGCCATAAATAATTCAATGAGACCCAAGTGAAGCCATATCTTTCTATGGTTTCAAAAGATCACCAGCTGAACACATACAAAAACAGCTCTAAAATCGTCAATTTCTGGCTCAAAGAAAGAAACCCAGATGATGGCAGCGCTACAAACGTATTCAATGTACTCACCATTGCGAAAAATGTGTCGATAGTTTCTGTATTTCCTTTAAAAAGGTGAACTTTTGCTGGACTTCTCTCAAAACTGTACCGCCAAATAAATACAAGGCAGATGTTTGGTAACTTACGGCAACCGGAGCCTCGTTTTCAATCCTATTGCCGAAAATGTCACATGATCTCTGATTGGTCAGATGTATGGCTGCTTTTATTAGACGATTTTTCATTGGTTGATGTAACCTCGCGGGAATTTCATCTCGTTTTATCTCGCGAGAGTTCAAAATTGGTGAAGATTTCCAACATGGCTGCCGAACAGTTTGGATTTTCTGGTGAACTTTGGGGAAACGGTCCGACTCCTGGCGGGTTCTACAGCACGCCTGGCGGCACAACAACCCCGCAGCATGGACCTACCAAACATACACTGTGAGTCTGCGAAGCGGGGGCGAGATTGTGTTAGTGTGGGGGCTAGGAGAAGGATTTGAAATGTTCGTGTTTTGGTGGATGACAATGATTCAGCATGCGCCCCCCTCCCCACACATGGGGCATAAAAAAATTTATACTTGCCAGTGCTTTTTCAAAGAGTTGTAAAAAAAAAGCAAAAGCTGCTATTTACCAAACGCACAGGTTTCTTCAACTGTTCAGGCGTTTCAGGTGGAATATTTCTCACCTGTATTTCTCACCTGTAGCCGGTCAATAGGTACCCTGTATGGGTAATGAGACCGCACTTCGGGTAATTTCGGCGGTAGCAGTTCTTCTTCTGTGTTCAGTACGTAAAGGTGTAGTTGTACATATCCTGGTGATTCTTCCACTCGTGTGCAATATGGTTCTTGAACTCATTTACTGATTTGCTGGACACTGCTTCCTGGGAAAGAGAGTTCCACACACTTGTGACTCTTGAATATACAAAAATTAAGGAGATGTTATTTGTACCAATTTTTATACACTATTTTTGTGAATAAAATTGTGATAAAGACAGAAAATTTGCAACACATGAAGTAATAATTGCAAAATCATGACACTGAAAATATGCCTTGATTGCATGATTTCTATTTTCTACAATACATAATTGTTTCAACTGGGAATATTTTGTAACACTTTAAAAACCCTCTTGCTTATCCTACTATGAATTGAAGTCCCTACAAAGTAAACAATTTTACTAATCCTTTCCTGTTGTTTTCAGCCATCCCATGACGATGGGAACGTCAGTGTTGGGAGTGAAGTTTGATGGCGGAGTGGTGGTGGCAGCCGACATGCTGGGGTCCTACGGCTCGCTGGCACGATATCGTAACATCTCCCGCGTCATGAAGGTCAACAACACCACCGTCCTGGCCGGGGCGGGCGACTACGCAGACTATCAGTTCCTCAAGGAAGTCCTGGATCAGAAAATGTGAGTCAGCATCCTAAGAAAGGTGGCAAGGTGGTTGTTGACTCAGAATCTAAAGGTTCTGGGTTCGAATCCCTAGCGTGAGTGTAAGCCTTTTCAGCTGTTGTCCGCTTCCCATGTTCCATTACCAGTAGTGGATTGTGGGGAGTGGACAAAAGCTAAAAAGGCTTACACTCAGGCTATCCAATCCCTTGCAGGCCCCACTGTTGTGTCCTTGGGAAAGGCATTTTACACCTATTTTCTCGCTCGATTAATGACTACATAGCTTTGTTGTAGAAGGGACATAAAAGCCGGAGGTCTGGTGTTTGAGGAGAGCCACACCTTGCTTACCAACAAGTCTAGTAGGGGTCCTATCCGGGCATGAGTGGTTCAAACCTAACAGTCCAGTTTATGCAGCTTTTAAGAGCTGTTGGTTATAATATACAAAATGTACTCAAATCACTAATTCAAGTCTCTGTTGACATTTGATGTTTCCTTCTCTTCTCTATACAGCATAGATGACGAGTTGCTAGGAGACGGCCATTCCTTCTCGCCCAAGGCCATCTTCTCATGGCTGACTCGCGTGATGTACAACCGGAGAACACGCTTCAACCCGCTCTGGAACCAGATGGTGATTGGTGGATTCCACGCCGGCAAACCGTAAGTTTTAATTCCAGGTTCAAGGTTTATCCATGTGTTTTCTTCTTTTTTGTTTGTTTTTTTAGACTGCTTGAATGAATTTACAGTACTGTAGATCAAAATGTTTGCAGTCATTGAACTTAAGTTTCATCTAAATCTACCTCCAAAAACATGTTCAATGTTCTATCTATGACCTCCTTAGGGGTAGATACAGGAAATTTAAGTTGTGTTCCTTTTATTTGCTGACAGTGTTGAACAATTTCCACAGGTTTCTGGGCTATGTAGACAAGATTGGAGTGGCCTATGAAGCACCTACAATAGCAACAGGCATGGGAGCATACATGGCACAGGTAGGCAACACTTTCACTTGCATACCTGCAGAGTTATACCTTACTATACATAGACTCTGTAAAACTACATAAATGTTTATGTATATGTTTTTATGTGACATATTTTTGTTCTTGTAGCCACTTCTAAGAGACGCCCTGGAGAAGAAGCCAAACATGTCCCAGTCTGAGGCCCTGGCGTTACTGGAAAAATGCCTGAAGGTTCTGTTCTACAGGGATGCCCGGTCCTTTAACAAGGTAGGCTAGAGAAAATTTACGAAAGAAAAAAAGTTGGCTGATTTTGACAAGAAAGACCTGTGAAACTTCAAGGCAAGAACTTTTAGGGTTTGTTGTAACTCTGTAATGTGTGTTTTGTGTCCTCTGTAGTTTGAGTTTGCGATAGTGACAGAAGCAGGAGTGGAGATTCTTCAGCCGAGGTCAGCAGAGGCCAACTGGAGCATCGCACATCTCATCAAGTAAGGAGCTCTGTAGATAACAGATTAGCAGAATTAGCAGAACATACTGTACCTGTACAAAACACAGACTTTTCACAGTTTTCATTGAATGTTTGCACAATGCTGCATCAGGATTTTGTCCCTTTTCCACCAATATCTTTTCCAACACAACATTTGAAAACTGTAGACAGGATATCATCCTTAAATATACAAATATGACCCTAAAATAGATGTTCTGCCAAAGTGCATGCTTTTCAGGTTTTGTGCAGACGCAGTACGTTCTACACTCAAGTTTAGGCTCATTTTAGATAGATGACAGCAGTATCTGTTTCACATTGAATACTGTTCTTGTTTTCTTTTTCTTTGTGTGCAAATTCTTATTGTTTTTTTACTGTTTTGCAGGGGATACGAGTGAAGACCTGAAGACTTTGATGTAGTGTAAAACACAAACATGATACTTTCTTATGTAAAACTGCAACCTTATACTTTAAGAACTTTGAAGAGGATAAAGTCTCCTTAGGACAAATGTCTTAACATTATTTCACCATCTTGTTTCTCTCATGTAGTACTTTTCTGTGGTGACTAAATATGAAAGGTGTTTTTTTTTCATCAAAGAAAATGATAGCATAGTTAACATTACTGTACTTTGTACCTTGTGGACATGTACAATATTTCAAGATGAAGTAATAAAGATATATTGAGAAGTCAAAGTGTTGTGTACTGGTGTAACTATAATAATTGAGATAAGCAAACAGTAAGCCACTATCCAAATCACCTTTAGCCTCCCGCTTGAATCCAACAATGTTGTTGGGTAGTTATTGGTGAAGCTTTAATTCGTCACTTTTTATAATTAATTCATTATTAAGCATTGTTGAAAAAGTCTTCATATTGAGTGATTTTCCCGAAAAGTCATAACAAAGCATCCACGGTCTACAGACTAGCTTTGCCCAAGGACGTTCTACAAGCTCTGTAGAACATCCTTGCTTTGCCAGACACCCCAAACAATTCCTCTGTAAAACCAGTTATACATGTAGTATAGCCTCTACCAGGCTTCATAAGGTGGACCAATCAAACCAGCATGTTATATCTATCTCCAACCGGCTCCGGAAGCCTGGCAGAGGCTATACTAAATTGGTAATTGTCCCTTTTAGTTCCTGGACTCAGACATGCATATGCAAAGGCGAGTGGCTGCAATCATTACATGAACTGCCAGGTGGCGTTTCAGTACCAGCAAGATGGCGGCGCCCATGTCTGCGTGAGGGCGATCTGTTTTTCTCTAAAGTTTAAAAGGATTCGACACAAATTCGAAGAAGATGCTGCGTTCAAAGGTGATTCAGTGTTGTATCTGGTATTATTCTTCCTCATGACACTTTTGAATCGAATATATGTCGCCCACAGTTCGGTGTTTTGCCTTTCATAATCATAGCCATGGGTTGGAGAGGGGGGGCGCTTAGCTGAGGTATATACGTTTTGAAGGACACCACCGTCGTGTACTAGTAAATTATCCGAAATCCCACACGAAAAAGTATAATTACTAGTGTACTGTAGGGGGTTTATAGGCGCTACCAACTGATCCTGTGGGGGCTCGACCTTTTAGCCGAATCGTTAGAGCGTCGAGGACCAGTTGTGTCTTTCTGTTTCTACTCTTCCTAATTCTTACACTAGTACGATATGTTTGTATTACCAGGTTCTTGCCAGTTTCCGAGCCCTACACAGAGCCAGGAAAGACGTGTTTAAGGGAGACACGGCTGCATTAGAAGGTGGTTCACAAAATTATATGATTCATGAATACAACGTCATATTATATAACCGTTATATTACTAAGTATTATGCTTGGTCCCTAAAAATTAGTCTATATTATTCACCAAGTCACCTTGAGGGAGCATTGATGAACCTGTACCTAGAGACCAGGTCTGATGAGACAACAAGAGCAACAAAAATTACTAACTTTATACAAGTAGCTAATATATTTGCATCTGATTGATTGAAGCTTTTGCAAATAACATGCATTCACTAATTTGGTGTACTTTTCCATGTTTTTTCTTCAGCTGCTCGACAGAGAATAAACCAGGAGTTCGAGAAACACAAAACAGAAACAGACCCGAGCAAAATTGAAGAGGTTTGACATAAGTTTATATTCAACATTGTTTTCGATTTTCTCTAGAAAAGATCATTCTACTGCATCCCACTCCTAGCAATGAAGTAACCATTTTCTTGTTGTTTTGTTGCTGTTTTGTTGACAGCTGGTTAAAGTTGCGGAGGACACAGCGGTTTATGTGAGACAAATGGTTGTGCAGGCACAGATGAACGAAGCAGGCAGATATGGTGAGTAAAACATACAATGTATGTCTTTTTTTTTCAAATATGATAATTTTGGCATTTTCCACAAGCTAAACAAAGACTAAAACAGGTATTCATACATACAAAAATGCGAAAAGCAGCTTCTACTGTAGTTACTTAACAGGAAGGTCAATATGGAAAGTCTGAAAGGAAAGTCAGATAAACACAGTTCCAGGCAATGTCAGCCCGGAAGCCAGACCCATATAGCACACCGCCCCAAAGTTTTCCAGTAAGTACTGGCCAGTGTGCTTTGGGTCTGGCATCCAGGCTAAGACAATGTATGTACTATATGTAGTTAGATGTAAATTTTGTCCTAGGTCAGTAGTGAAGTAATTAAAAGAATGTTGTGTTTTCCAGAGCTGCGGATACGTAAGGACAGTGGTGTTCTTGTGGACAACGCCAAGCTGAAACTGAAGGAGCCACGGAGAACACGGAAGAACAGAACACAGGACAAGAGATAGTAGAACACGTTTGTAGGCACCGTACTTGGGGGGGGTACCCTTTACGTTGTAGGACCAAGAATTTTTGGAAAAGGGGATTTCTAGTACTCAAACAATTAATCTAATAGTAAATAGTTATGAAAGAGGAAAGGAGCATCCCTCTATCTCAATAGAAATTCATTTGTTTCAGCAATTACTTTAAGAAGGGGAGGGGCAGTTTTTTGTCGTTCTATCTCATCTACAAAGTTTCTAGAGGCTGTTGTTTTGTTGCACGGTTAGAAGATCTGGATATTTCAGATGTTTTTCCTTGGATGTAGCTAGGTGGAGGAAATTCTTGAAATGGTATTAAAAGTTACATCTATAGAGAAGTTTCATCTGAGTTTTGTCCATGTCTCAGTCAGTAGCATAGTGTGGCCCAAAGGTTAGAGCTGAGAGTTTTCATTCCAGCTGTTGTCACTGGACTGTAGTGCTCATAGTCCAATCTTTAGTGACCCTGCCTTGGGATCAAGAGGTTAGGGGTTTGAATCCCGGCCGTTGTCACTTACCTGACTCAACTTTACTGATATTTCATCATAGTACCAATTAAACATTTGCCACTCATATCATATGCGGTTTTATGTCCTACCCGGGCCACGATTATGTTCGATACGGGTGTCCCGGCCCGTGTGATAACTAGCGGTACGGCCCGGGGGTTCTTAACGCGTACAGCCCGGCCCTTCCAAATGTTCCATAGAACGATTCGAACGCGTTTCGCCCTAACCGCGTGCAACGCTTTCGACAATTCGAATGCAAAATTCGGACGTTGGAATTGATGTTGTTGCTTTTTTTGGGATTAGGGACACCAAATTTTTGCTCATTTCGCATTGACAGGCGTGTTTTCGTGGGTGGGTATGACATAAATAAAATACAACACGGTGTATTCCGCATCACCCTCGGTCCCAGCCCTTCCGCGGATCGGATCACCCTCCGGCCTTTGGCTGTCGGGCGATCCGACGCGCGGTCGGGCTGGTACCTCGGGCGATACGGAATACACCGTGTTGTATTCTATATATACCAGCTATACAGATACAGATACAGACATATGCAACAATGGACAAACACGCGACAGACTTGTAAGAAATGTTTTATTTCTCACTACATTACATCTGTTTCAGGTCTGTACTACCCTAAACTACCTCAGTTGTTAAAACTAGATGATGGCTCCATGTCTGTCACAAGTTATACACACATGGCTTCATGACTTCATTTCAAATGCAGCATTTGGATTTCTATATACACATCCAGTGATTTTGTTAGTTAAAAGTACAATACCGGTATTAAAAAGTTCTTCAGTTTATCAACACTGATCACCATAAGTCTGGAAGATAAGGGGGATTTAGAAAATGCTGGTTTTCTTTTATTTAAGCCCTTTTAATTGTATTGACTTGTTGCTGAATGTAGAGTTCACATGTTATTGATATCTGTATTATCTATGCCATAGCTTCTGTACATAGCTCTAGAGATATTTACCACTAAAGTGTATTTTCCAAATCCTCCATATCTTCACAACTTTGAAATACATACAAATATATTATATATATCTACTAAACTCCAAGCAGATGTACAAGCAGTCACAGTGTTTCTGAGACATTTAGTGAATGATTTTGTAAAAAAAAAAAATGCACTTAATGGGGAAATAACTTAATACATAAAACACTGGGACTGAGTCCACCTCTGCTTGGAGATTAGCATTTATTACAAATGTCCTAAGATTCTGGAAGCTTCCAAATTCTCTGATCTCTGTCTAGCTTTTTTTTATTCCCTTTCCTGTGATCTAACACCTACATCTACCCAAATAACTACTGTATCAGAATTTGGCAAGCTATCAGAACTTGGTAGTGACTGTATCAGAAAACTGAACGTAATTGTAAGAAAATACAAAATATATTCAGTGGGTTCTGCAACAGTTCACACTTTTCCATTTTAGTAAGATTCACCACAACCAATGACGCCATTTTTTTTAAGATCAGCCCTTTTGCAAGACCTTTGACTTTTTTTCAAGACCCCATACCCCTTACAGATATTGCCTAGTCTGATCCGGATGATTTTCTCACCAGGCAACCCACAACTTCACCATGTCCAGTCAATAGCAGGTACATATAATTCAATTTCCTTTTTTTTTTTTGGATTGTACATTTTTTCTGATCTAAACCAGCTCTATGCAAGCTTTCAGTTGGGGATGAATTTTATGTAATGTACAGCTTCTTTCTAACTATAAATTAAGCCCCCCTCCCCAGTTCATAAAATGATTGTTTTTGTCACCACCCAACCTTCACTTAAAAAGGGGTAAACCTCTCGTAGATTTTCTCAAATTCTCTCTGAAATGTAATGAGGGCCTTTAGCATGATACATAATATCCCATAAAACTGTCAATCGGAAACTTCATACCTCAGATATAACCTTTTCTTTTAGTTTTAGGAAAATATAAATAACAGCTTTTTGAATGTCAAAGTTTGGTGAACTCATAAGGCAGTGTTTGAAAGATCTTGTAGTAATTTGGTAGCCTCTACCAGGCTTCGGGAGGTGGCTGGAAAGAGTAGAAATTGGCCTAATAGAGAGATAACATGCCGAGGGAGTTGGTCAGCTAGCAGCAAAATCTACTCTCTAGTGGACCAACTCCCTTAGCATGATATCTAGTTTATTCGGGCAATTTCTACTCTTTCCTGCCACCTCCTGAAGCCTGGTAGAGGCTAGTAATGTGGGTCAGCTGCACACAAGTATCTGATGACAGTTTTTGGGATATCACTGCTACACGGGAACATGAAACAAGTATTCTGTGTCGTCTGTGTCCATCTCCAGTTGGTCTTCTGTTTTGTCTTTGTCGTACGCGTCCATCACCAGCCAGTCCAGGAAGCCCCCGCGTTTTGCTTGCTTCTTTTGCGACGAGTCTTCGTGTTCCCCGCTTGGATTGGATTTTCTGTAAAACACATGGACATCTTATTTAAGATGACAGTCAAATCAAGTTGATTTATTGGTTCTTGGGTTACTTACAGTGTCTGGATAATCATCTCTTGTACAAAATTAGTTTGAATTAGGATAATGTTATCTCAGTCTTATTCTATATCAGTGAAGGCTATACATCCACGTTAGGATATGCTAAAATAGTTACTCAACTAGTCTCAAGCAACTGGATATGATTTTTTGGAAATTATATCCAATTGCTTGAGTGACTGTTTTTTTTTAATTTTGCAATTGCGTTATCTTGGTCTGATTTTGATAGCTTTAATAGTGTGGTCAGTCACTTTCCACATATGAAGCAGGCAAGGCCAGACCCCATGTTGGTGTCCTTATTTGCATTTCAATCAATCAAAACTCAAGACTATTAAATGCCCATTAATGCTGGGTTATGATTCACCAACGTGAGGATTCTTAATTTCCTTGGATTTACTGAAATGCAAATATGGACACCAACATGGCTGTGCAAGCAGCAGTGACATCACATCAAACCAGTCTATTCCCAGGTTGTGTCAGCAGAGACAGAGAATGTATGTACAATACAGTACATATATAGAACCGGGAAAATTCCTCTTCTTCTTTACTTTTCTTCTTTACTCTACAAATCAAACTAATGTGTACAATTGAAAATGAAAACTCACCCCCAGACGACACATTTCTTTTTGGGGTTCATGTGTGTGCCCAGCGGACAAGTGTACGCCTCCGCAAATTCAGGGAAGTTAGCAAACGGGCCGTTCACTCTGGAAAAATAAACACAGAACACTGTCCGATTAGAAAGAAATATGGATTCAGAGAAAACAAAAAAATAGTGTGAAACTCTACAGGGACAACACAAAATGCATTTATATAAATCTTGGCATGCTATGTTGGATCAAATGTTTATGCCTCCTGCCAACATGTATATTACTCTGTAAATACGTTAACTTTGTATACAATATCAGGAACTGACCTGTATTTTGATGGGCTGTGTACATCAGAATACAGTAAGTGTTTCGCATATTCCTCTTTGTAGTAGGTGCACCAGGTCTGTAGGAAAGGGGACAGAGAAAACAGGGTGAGGAAAGTCGTGTCTTTTCGAAGTACACGCTATAGGAATTGAACCCGCGACCGCTCAATCCTTTGTCCACCAGCATAACTACTCATGATGGCTGCAGCCATCAATGCCACACAGGCTTTTGTGAAGGCTCTAGATAAAGAATCTTTCATGGTGCAAGCAAAATTTCCAATTTCAGTAAGAACTACTTTTTGCTACCCTTCCTCCTCTTATCCAAAGCAAAAAGGTCAATGACCTGAACTAGACTGTCTATTACCATGGGTAACTAGTGTTGAGTTATATCATGTTGCAGTTTTATAGCAGGAGGGATTTAGACTCCTGCCACCATATACAATGTATATGAAATTGTGTTTGAGCATTTGCTTTGCAAATACATTATCTTTCTAGCTATTATAGTAATTTAATGCTTAGATTGGTTAGTTCTAAGACTTATATACTTGAACAGACAATTAAACCTACCTGTGCCCAGCCTAAGAAAAACAGCTGTTGAGAAGTCTTGTTAAGCCCGGGCAGTATTGTATCCCTGTGGGACACCAGCCATTTCTCGTACGCCCTGTACGCTAGTCTGACACCCCCGTTGTCGGCTATGTTCTCTCCTATCGTGTTGTCACCATCAACCTAAACAAATAAACAAAACAAATGAACAGAGACCCAGGTCCAAATTTTTAACAAAGTCTCTATAGGTTACGTAGTACGTACATGGCTAGATCTAGTGTTTTTAAAAATCTATTAAGGGACCACAGAAAAATGACCACAAATAAGTCAGTGGTTCCAATGCAGTGGTGGTGACTAGACCATTGCTGCTATGCTTGGTCATTGTAGACAGGATTCTTACTGCTTGTATCTGTCAAATGATTTTCTGAAGAACCACCCAAAAGTGGTAACATTGACTAGGTGGTCCTAATGTAGAGATGGTCACTTGACAATGTACAATTTGACAGTAACTTCAATGCGAAAAGCCAGGGACACTTTCACTATACATGTCTATGTAGAAAACTGAGTTATAAAAATATGATTTTACTTACATGTTCTCCATATACTGTGAATTCAGAGTACTGCTTCCTCAAACACTGCGATTTCTGCCTAAAGTTTTTCAAAGATTCTTCTGTCCACCAGTTTCTTAGGTTCCCGTCCTTGTCATAAGTTTTTCCTGCAAGACAGTGAGTGTTTGGGGTTAAACAAAAGCCCAGTTGTTCATTTATTATGTAACAATGAATAAAAGTTGGAAGCCAATGATATTCTTTACAATGAAAAGTGTAACTGACCATGCTGTTATATTGTCAAACTCACGAGTTAATTTGTAACTCACCGTGGTCGTCAAATCCATGAGATAACTCGTGCCCCATAATCGCTCCCATTGATCCAAAGTTTAATGCCCTGAAAAAAAAAACATGCAAATTTGATCAATGACACGAATATCAACGTTAATATAACCATAAATTATGACTGAAGTTCCCAAAATAACCACAAACTACTGTATTCAATTTGTTTGATACCAATGCCATATCATTTGTATCCTTTGCAAAGGGTATAAAGTGAAATATGAGTTTAAAATGGAGAAAGGAAGCACTGCCCAAATGTTTTCCTTCTGCGAAGGTACACAAGACAATTTTACAATCATTGATAAACCACTGTTGTAACAGTTACTTACATTGGGAAGTTTGGTCCATACAGAGGTGCTTGTAGAATACCAGATGGAAAAGCCATCAAGTTTTTAGTTGCGCTGTAGTAAGCATTCACCTTAGCTGGTTTCATGCTCCACCTGGAAAAACATATTACATTTAGTCAGCTGAGATGCAGGGCTTTTCTAGGTTTATGTAATACAAAATTAGAAGAAGCAGACATTCTGCTAACTTCCATCAGTGAAGTGACTGATTCTCAGTTAAGTGACTGACTCTAACTTAATCTCAGGGAAGTGACTGATTCTCAGTGAAGTGACTGATTCTCAGTGAAGTAACTGATTCTCAGTGAAGTGACTGATTCTAACTTAATCTCATGGAAGTGACTGATTCTCAGTGAAGTGACTGATTCTCAGTGAAGTGACTGATTCTCAGTGAAGTGACTGATTCTCAATGACATTAAAAGTATGAAAGCTTACTCTGATCTGTCCACAGGTTTCCCGTATCTTCCGATAATTCTATCCAGGTCGAATTTCTGGACCAGTAACATGTTACTGACAAAGTCACCCTCTGTCACTACCATCTGTGGGGAAAAACAACATTTGGTCAGATTCAAAATAAACATATTTTATACAAGCTTTGTCTTGAAGAAAGTACTACACAATACTCATACATTGTATAGCCAATAGAAATCACTAAAATGAGTGATTTCAAACCAGTTTAACTCACTGAAGAGCTACTCTTTCTCTGGTTTTCACAGAAAAGGCAGATACTATGTACAGTAATACATTAGTATTACTCGATAACACCATTTTTTGGAAGTAGCAGAACTATGAAAGTTGAATACTGGTACCACAAACCTTTTCGTAGTACTTGTCCAGTTTTGCCGGGTCCTTGATGAAGTCAGGGTAGCCAATCATACGCCTCAGAGCAGAGAGTTTCTCCAGCGCCATGGTCTTAGTCTGGTTATCCATCCAGTCTGCCTCCTCTAGCGTCAGTCTCATCTGTTCCTTTATACCGTCCATGATTTCATTTGCCTAAAGGAAAACAAGGCACCAGACTTGAATTTCTCACCTAGGTTAAATCAATTTTTTTCCTGGTAGACATAAAATTCTGATCCATTCTTATCCATTCTCACAGCCATTAAGATATCGTACATGTATATCTATGGCTGTGAATGCCTAGCCAATGTCTTTTTAAAGTTGCCATTTAAGACTTTTTCCATTTAAATTTGAAACATTTCACTCTACATTAAGTAGAAAATAATGTTGTGTTAGGCTGACCAGTTAAGCCTATGTTTCACTAGAACAAAGTTTTTCTAGATCAAAGTTTCAACAAAACTTTCAGTTTTCATAGTTAATACTACAAATATCAATCAGTCTGAACTTTTTCCTTATGTGCAGTAACATTGTCCTTGTCTTCATAGGCTGTCATAGCCTGGGTGCCATCCTCCATAGTTTCCGCAAGCTCCCTAATGTCCACAGTAGCCAGCAACATACCACAGTGGAAACTACAGAGGATGGCACCCAGGCTAAGGCTGTCTGGCGGACAGATACACTATCACTAACCTTGTCAAAGTGGTCTTTCCCAAACGCTTTATCAGCAAACATGGCGCCCATGGCCCAGCCCGCCCGTTTGTTAGTTACGGCCGTGCAGTAGATACTCCGGGATGGCGTTGACCTTGTCCCTTGGACGACCTTCTCCAGTTCCAGACTGGCGATTCGGAACTTGAGTGACAGGTACGGGGCAAACTTCTGGTTGATCTGGTTTATGATGTAGTTGGCTAAAACCCTGGACAAAAAAGTGCAAATTCAGGAAATTATGTAGTATCATGGGGAATGTTTGTGCTCTCCTAGTCTCCCAGTTCAATCCAGTCTTCGTGAGACAGAGGTAGTTATGCTACAGGATAGGTCTGCATGGGAGAATCTAGTGGTTCATGGTTTAATCTTATTCATTCATTCATCTATTCATTTCTTCCTTCATTTATTCATTGCACTAAATGATTGTTTTCATGGTTCTTATTAATTACGTATATTACATTATTGCCCTGAGGAAGGTAGCAAAAGGAATACCAAAACATTGGGATATTAATGTTAGTGGTTATGCAATGTTACAAAGATCCCAGTGGAAAATGGTCAACTTCGTAACACTTACTCTTTGCTGGTGTTGGCCACGATTTTGGACATTTCCATCAGGTACAGCGGGTCGTACACAAGCACCTTTGTGTCAGGGCTGATCTTCTGTCCCAGCAACATGTCTGTCAGGTACTTGTTCACGTCGATCTGAAACAGACAGAACATATGCATGAATCAAACAGGATTAAGATGTTCCAGATTCTCCTGTCAATCTTAAAATCTCCCACCCATGTGCTGTTAACCTACTCTGTCCATACACAAACACTCAAACCCACAATGCAGCCACTCAAAAATAATACTTCCATACCAGAAAGGAAGAAAATGTTTCAGTAATTGTCAGTAGCATGTACTGTCAACACACTGTCAGTAAGACATCAATCAGAATAATTCTTAGGAAGCACCAGTAGTCCAGTACTTGTCATGTGCATTACAGTCTCATGACAGTTAGGCCATGTTGATTTGATTATATGGATGACATCCGCGCGCGCATGAATTTTCGGCCGTTTCCAAAAAAAAAAAGTTTTCAACCATACTGTAAATCGTACAAAACAGTTGCAAAATGAGCAAAATTATACTATAAGTTACAAAAAAAATTAATAAAAACTATACCAATGTCGTAGAATGCCAAAATCAAACGAAAAAAGACGAAATTGTAAAGAAATGAACTTGAAGACTAGATTATTCGCCAAACCATATTCTGTGCCATTTGCTCAACCCTCATGACCACGTAGATTTTTTTGCAAAACTTTTTTTTTATTCGCACGCGCGCATCAGTTTTGGGGCTCCCGGAAGATGTCATCCATGTAATCAAATCAACATGGCCTTAGATGAAATGATACTGTCAGTAACTGATCAGTAACATGCATCACTACTGATAGTTTGCTAAGGGTACTTACTGATGGCATGATCGCTGTCAGGTTTTTCAGTGGCCACTTGTTGTACCTGCCAAAAATATCCCTTCTTGAAGGAACCTTCTCATCAATCTGGAAAAGGACAAGAAAGGGTTTTATAAAGTTTTGCTTTAAGTTGTGTTTTTGTGGACAGTGAGATACATCCTGCAAAACACAATGATTTTCTTCATACATCATTTAAAGAGGGAAATATGTACAATAATGTCAAACAGAAATTAGTGAACTGGCAAGTGAAAAAAATTGGAATGAACATTTAAATAATCTGACATCAGAGAAAAACAATGAAATAGACGTAACAGTTGTACAAATTAATGTATTTCTGAACAATTTAGAAGTTTTACCTCAGCCAGTCTGGTTTCAAACTCCCACACATCCTCCAGTTGTTGTCTTGCATCTGCCTCGTTTGCTCCAAGTAAGACGGCCAGCTTCACAACGTAGTTCAACCAGCCCGTTTTAACCTACAATCGGCATAAAATTGTGAGTGACTCTAGATACTGATTGTCAACAAACCGTAGCCTCTACCGGGCTTTGAGAGGTGGCTGGAAAGAGTAGAAATCGGGCAAATAGAGAGATAACATGCCAGGGGAGTTTGTCTGTTGGGAGAGAACATTTTGCCACACCCAGAGCCTGGTAGAGGCTAAAGAAACCATCGGTCCAAAATCTTACGATTTTGAGAAGCCAGGAAGATATCGTTTGTGACATTTTTTGGGTTCAACATTATATGTATTGTGCTATAATGTATTCAGTGAGCTGGGGTGATTCGAATACTGATGGCAAAAGGTGAATCCACCAGTGCATTTAATGCTTGGAGACATTACAAGCTTGTGATATGCCTTTCCTTCTAAAGTTCAGTGACCAATGACCATTTAAGTATGACTTAACTGCAGTTAACCCAACACCTACTGAGTTGCATCCTTGAATATGTCAAAGACGTACCTTTGCAGCAGTTTTCTTGCTGGTGTACATTTGGCCATGCTTCAAACTGAGTCCAGCTTGTACAAACTGTGTGAAGGGTGAGAGAAAAATCCGTTTTACGCAGAAAACATGCAAAGTTGCAAATATTTTACCAGGTCTTTCAAACCATAAGATTGCTGTGGCTCAAACTATTGTGCAATTTGAAGCAAGATTCAGTCCTCTACAATAAAACATAACTGGTCCTAAATCCATCTCTGAATAGAGACGGGGGACACCACAAACTATCTCAAGAGTCACCTGGTTGTTAAGTGAGTTCAAAGAAGCAATTCACTCTCGACAAGTACTTCTGTCATACAGTCAAAACTATTGGGTTCATATTCCAGTTCTTTGCATTTTTATAGAGATCCTTCTTCGTAATATATTCTGGAAAAGAATATGAAGTTTCAGGTCAATAAAAGATGTTTTCACAGTCATTTCAACTGACCTGGAGGATGTTGGTCTTGGAGTCCTTGTCATCAGCGCCGATGCCAAAGCCGAAGAGAGAGTTTGGTCCCAGTTTGTGTGCGTTGATGAGAGTTTCTGTCAGGTCCCACTTGTCAGGGTCAAACTTCCCGCCCGCCGGGTCCATACTGATGTTCCATGAACCTATGGACTCTATTACCTGGGAGAGAGAAGAGAAGGAGAGATAAAGTACTGTACTGTAGATTCATTTATTACCTCCGGGGAAGGAGATATCCTTCTGTGAGAGGGTATTGTTTTGATCTTTACCTTCGCCAAGAAGGTTATGTTTTCAGTAGCGTTTGTCTGTGTGTGGGTGTGTTTGTGTGTGTGTGTGTGGTTTAGCAAGATAACTCTAGACGGAGTGGGTGGATTGGAATGAAACTTGGTAGGTGGGTAGGTCTTCATGAGACCTAGAAATAGATTTTGGGCCCCCTGGCAGCTTTTCTAGGTACTGCAGCAGAACTTCCGGTTTTGATATCTCGTGATCTGGACATGCTAGGGTCACGAATTTTGGTTGGTAGATAGCTCTTGGGGTAGGGAAGAAGTGACATTACTTTGGGTCCCCTAGCTGCTTGTTCTGGAACTGCAGCAGCATTTGATGAAAAATTTTCGAATGAGGATAACTCAAGAACCGGTTGACGGATTGTCGTGATTTTAGATATGTAGGTAGTTGAAGTAATGCTTGTCATAATCAGATGACAATTATGCAAATCAGGGGATAATTTGCATAATTAATGAGGAAATTCTATAAATCTGCTTTGTTCGATAATAGAACTATGAAACACTTGTGACATCTACTTGAGAACAAGAAAAAACATCTGAGGATATAGATTATGTAAATGACGACCTAATTTGCATAATTAGTGCAAATTTTTATAATTTCATAGTTGTAACCGCTGGCAATTTCATACTTGCCACATTTGGAAGGTGAACATCAATAAACATAATTTATTCAAATCATGACCTCATTTGCATAATTTATGAGGGAGTGCTATAATATCCTTTTTGTTAAGATAAGGCTGTCATTGGGTGGAGAATATGATCAACTGATATAATCCATGCAAATGAGGTGCTTATTTACAAAATCAATGATTAAAATTGTATAATTCGTCAACCCTAAGAGTTAACATCATTTGGCGAAGGTATGAGATCGTGGAACTCTTGTTCTGTATGTGTTCACAGCTGTAACTCACGGATAGTTTGACGGATTTGTTTGATTTTTTACATAATTTTTTAGTTATTGAGGTCCACATGATGCGGTATTTTCAGTGATTTTGCAATGGAAAAATCATCACTAATTCCAAATAAAACCATTTAACCTGTTACAGTACAAAGACAAAAGCTAGAGCTAAAGCTAGACTGCAATTGTCTCATGTTTCTCAATGTACCAATGAAAATAGATGTACAAATTGCTTAGAGATTATATAATACTAATGGGCAGATAATATGATTGATATATAATACTAATGATTGACAAACCAACCTTTAAAAGTGGTTTCCCGCCTTTATCCTCTATAGCAACTTCGTCCAGACATGACTGGTATATCATCTTGGCTTTAGCAATGGCTGTAGAGTTCTGACCCTTAAAAATATGTCCAGGAGTTGCTATTTCCTGTGGTCAAAGAAAAAAGAAATTTATATTAATCATCATAGACTTAAAACTTTCTGATATGATGAAATTCATTATCATTTTTTATTTCATTCAAAAGTCATTTAGTTTTCAGCCAAGCAAACCTAATCCAAGACCAACTTCAGGGGTGCCAGAGTATACAGTGCAATTTTACGAAATACAGTACAATTTTACGGAATACAGTACAATCGTATTAGTATACAGTAAATTTGCACTGACTGTATACTAATACGATTGCACTGTATTCCGTAAAAATATACTGTATACTAATACGATTGTACTGTATTCCATAAAATTGCACTGTATTCCGTAAAATTGCACTGTATTCCGTAAAATTGCACTGTATTCCGTAAAATTGCACTGTATTCCGTAAAATTGCACTGTATACTCTGACCCCCTGAACTTTCTTACCCTTTGTAAGATACCATAGTTGCGTCCTGCTATACGTTGCAGTATGCCGTATTTAGCGACACCTGGCGATACGATAAGGTCCTGCAGCCACTTCCCGCAGGAGAAATGGTAGAAATCTTTGCAGGGTTCGACTGTCAGGTCCATCTTCCCCAACACCATGTCACTCTCCTCCACACAGTGAGGCTCCAAACAGAAGAACTGAGGAGAATAAAAAGGGAAGTATTGTAAACATCCATCCCCAATAGAGACGGGGGACGCCATAGACTTCCAGATGGTTCTGTCAGAGCCTCGTTCAACTGAAAATACACACAGTCTACAAACATATACACATATATACAGAACAGACCTCTCCTTGGTGCTGAACGCTATCCATACAGACATACAAAACAGACTTGTGGCAAAATTTCACCGTTTTTTAAAACCCTGCATTTGTTTATTTGGATTTACCACAAGTACAAATATACCAGTGGAAGGGAGGGCAAAACAGGTGTATAGACCTTTAAAGTTGTCCTCCCAAACACTACAATATAGATACAGAACAATACAATATCAAGCAAACAGATTACAATATCAAACATTGAAATAAAAATTCCAACAATATCGTACAATAGACATGAAAAATTGTACAATACAATGTCATAAAATATCATACATTATATACAATAAGTGGAAGGGTTGTTGGTATGCTAAAGACTCTGGAAGTTGAGGACTTACCCCTTTTGGTTTGTTCATGTTCTGGAGCAGCATGTAGAGGAGGTAGGCCACGGCAGCAATCAGGAGGACCAGCAGGGCCAGTAACACACCCAGGAGACATTTCTCTCGGTTAGAGAACACCCTCTCCTTCTTCTTCTTACTGTCCGTAAATGAGCCTGCAGAAACAAGAGACGATTTAGAAAAATAATTTCATTCAGGCGCTTGGCTCATATGCATATAAATACATACAAGAACAGACTAATAAGAGATTGAGATATGGCAACAAACAACGAAAATCAAACAATACCTACAATTAAAACTACAAATGTAGCTACTGCTTAAAAACCAAGTTGACATAATGTCTCCAGAACACTGTGCTAAGATGGTAGCCATCAGAGTAAATGATTGTAACTATGATGGGGTTTTCACTGTGTTGTGTAGCAACTGGCTAGCAAATGAGTGGGTATAAAAAGTGAGGTTTACCAATGATCATAAATGTGTATTGTAATGAGTTTGCTCAGTACAAAGCCACTGGGCCACTCCTGCACAACTGTGTGGCCCAAGGACTATAGAAACGGAGATGGGCACCACCCTATACACAATACGGTGTGGGAATTAAGGACTTAGATTAACTGGAAATCAGGTGTGCAATTTACTCCTAAATTGAACATTTATTTGTGCCATTACTTGCTTGATGATAACCTTACCACGCACGCACACTCACACACACACACACACACACACACACACACACAGGCACACACGCACATTCCACTCTGTCAAGTGTTTTTAAATCCGCGGTTGAAATATTTAGTGAGGCTGAAGAAGAGTGGCGGATGTCCCTCGAAATGTCCAGAAGTTATTTATTTGTCCAGTAGTAGACTTTGTTTTGTCTTTGAATACTAACGTTAGTAACACTAGTACATGTAGTTACATTGGACACGCACATTCATTCGGCGGTGCAGATGACAACGCAAAAATAAAATTAAACGACACCCAAGATTTCAATATCTACAGTATCCCAGAGAAGTTGTCTTACATGTGTGCCCACCTTACCCCCGGGTCATTTGTGATTGACTAATCCGACCACTTAAAATGGCTGCGATCTGGGGCGTGACGTCACATACCTTGTTGACGTGGACATATCACAGGAAAATACCTGCTACTTCTACCAAGGCGTTAACATCACTTTTAGTTTTGTTAGTTTTGAGTTTTCCATCTAAAGAAGATACCTATAGCTACTGTACCAAAGTCAGTTCGTCGTAGTCTAGAATATTTCTTACAAGTACACAATTGGACTGAGCATGGATGAGAAAGATTCGTGAAAAAGACAAAAATTCACGTGGCAATATATAAATTTTCTGAGAGTAAAAGGTACATGAATAGTTATGAAGTAGTCAACATCGAAATTATCCTAAGTAGCAATTTGTCTTTCTTCAAGTTCGTACAGGATTTTTTCTTTCTGTCGGCATGCGATTCTCAGAAATTATCAGTATACTTTCTGGTAGAATCTGGCTAAAATCGAGGAAAATGTTAACGTTGTCTAGCTTGGTATCTGCATATGGAAGCTTTTAGAAGAACAAAAACGGTTTTGAAATATTGGCATCACGTGTTGACACAGTTGTACGAATTAAATGTTCTTTCTTGCGTTCTCCTGACACGATTTTCCATGTGCACATTCCGAGTCTAAGCCAACTATGGAATACTACGAATCCAAGCAGTCTATCTTTTTGTAACATGTAATGTGTTACAGGCATTTCTCATTTAGAATTCGGGAGTTACGTAAAGGATAGAAATTCCATTTGACACATTTTCGTTGCACAATTAATCTTAATTCACACCCCTGTCGTCTCCCTATGATTAAGACAACAACTTAGCCACAAACAGAAAATATGGCTTCTTTCTTCAAGAAACTCGACAACGACCATAAAGAAAAAAAACGTGAAATCCTGTGCGGTTATGGGAACAAAAAAGTTGACCAACGCTTTCAAAAAAGGGGGTACAAATCTTCGAGATTTCTCACCATCGTCTTGGAGATGTTCACAAAATGGCTCCTTGTCCCAGTTGTACAGGTCGTCTAGATCTTGGGAACGTCTGGCGTAACTTTTGGCCAACTTCCTGAACGACGACTTCATCCCCTTCGTCATCCTTAACTCTCACTTCTTCCTTCTCATGGCTTTTAAGTCGTTTCAAGACGCCAAGACTAAGTTAAAGGCGATTTTTTTAACGTCCAAGATGACCAGATTGGGTGGGAAATAATTATGACACCACTTTGGGAGGAAAATTGTCTTGGCTCTTCCACGAGTCGCCAGTACCCCACCCGGAGGAAAAGATGAATTTTATCTGTAGATTCAAGTTTTATTTTGAGTAGATTTGCCTCAAATGTTGTTGATATGACGTTTGTCCACCTGTGTCTATTTTGTAAAAGCACAGAAAATCAAGAAATACACTATCTCGTAGTTTTCTTTTTCGACTTTTGAGGGGGCAGATGGCAAATAGAACAGCCATTCCACCTGTGTCTTCAGAGTTGCTGGACCAGTGCAACAAGTGGCAATGCATGTCGGGACATAAATGTTACTCCACGAATTTCACATATTTTCTTTAAAAAAATAATTTTAGCAAAAAATTTAATTCATTCTGAATGACTAGAAAGGATTAGAATCGTTTGCAACTTGTAAACAGTCAGTAAATATGATAGCAATACGTTTGGCAGATGGAAAGTACTTTCCTTCAGGGCATTTTGTAGACAACAATTTTCACTAATGCGAGATTGCATGAAAAGGGCAAAATGGCAGGAATGTCAGAAAATCGCAGTCATTTAAAGAGAAGATTGATTTTGTAGAAGCTACAGTTTCAGAAGGTGTTTTTTTTCTTGTTATCGCAAGTTATATTCATTTCACAACACTGCCTGTTTTGAACAGATGGAAGAAATGTCTTGGATGGATAAATTGTCAGGGGAGATCTATTTGCATAATACATTAATGAAGTATTGTGTCTTCGCTGATATCGATACTTAACTCAGACTATGGATAACCTCCTTGCTCAGACGGACACCTCCCCCTTTGCAAGAGGACAAAATGTCATTCCACAGCAGACATTTGGCTATTGTTTATAAACACCAAGACTTACACTTTTTCGTTGTTGTCATGCTGGCATGAAGTCTGACCCAAAGTACATCAATCCTATCAAAACAGCTTGTTCATCTTGTTTTTTTATCGTGTGTTCTATACCCACCATTCTCCTTTATACAACATTTTAGGTTGTAGATCTTATTTTAGCGCTACGTCCTTGGCCTGGTATTTATATTTTAAAGCAATTATCATATTTGACACAGTTTTTGAACACTACGATGATGAGGTGTTCTGTGGTTGGTCAAACACACAATCGGAGGTCATTGGGTGGCACATGTAGGTTATAGGTACTGACAGGATGCGGAACAACGAGTTTTTGGACCATTGTACATGTCCCGGTATCTGTATCTGTATAGCCGGTGCTAACCGCCCTTCAGTGTAACACCAGCTTCGCATATGCACGCCGCGCGGCGGCAGCTGGCTACATTACACCGAGCACCTAAATCTTCGACATCTAACTCTACACATTTGTTCAAAGCTCTCTAATGGTAGATAGATAGATATATGGTAACCCTTTTACATCCATATTCACATTTGATAAAGATAAAAGAAACATGCTCATATCATGTCCAAAGCCGGGAAGTCCGCTGCAATGCAAAGGGAAGCCGCCAGGAGATCCACAGAGACACCAAAAATCAGAACAAACTAAGTTCTACGTCAAACCAATCGTCAACGCAAAACCGTGCCACTGAATTTCACTGCAGTACCAAGAAGAGCCACTAGGATATCCACAAACGACGGGTATCTCTTTTGCAACACCTACTCTCACACCAAAAATCATTATAATCCAAACACGGCAACCCTTGTCCTGTAATAGCCTCCTGTGCAGGCTCCGAGGCGGGTGGAAATTTTGATACAGCGTTTTGAAGAGTTTTTTACGCGTTGTTTTAATAGCCGGCCATCGAATGGAACCTTCTCTCGGCGGCTATGTAGGATGGCCGACTACTAAAATAACGCGTTAAAAAATCTTCAAAACGCTGTATCGAAATTCCCACCCTCCTCGGAGCCTGCACAGGAGGCTAGGCCTGTCAACGCAAAACCATGTCACTCAAAATATAACCTCGTTCTCGGAAGTGTCCATTTTCCCAAATGACCCCGGGACAACTCTTCACCCATGCGGGTAGGTGTGATGTAAATGCCCGTGCTCCTGCGCTGTGTATGCCTGGCGGGGATTTGTCTGTTCTCCTGCCATGCAAAACTAGCAAATTTTAACTGTTTAGCGCAGATCGGATGGTTTTTACCAAGTTTCATGACCTAATGATCACTTTTTTAAGATATTTTCCAAAAGTTTGTAGAATTGTTTTCATTATGAGCTTTCAGAATTAAAAGAGTAACCGTGTTCAACAATGGGCGTGCTGTTGAGTATAGAGTTCAGGTCAAAAGGGTCACCGCAAAATCATGTCATTGCTTGAGAGAGCACGTCTTGCAACTTAAGTCTGTAGGTGTCATAAAACAAACAAGAATGAACAAATAAAGAAAACAAACTGGTAATTTTTCATTTGCAATTTTCTCGGATATTACCAAGATGGGAAAGGCAAGGGGTGAGGACGTTGGTAGATAATTCAAGGAACGATTTCTTCTTTTCTTAACGTCATTTTCTTGTGTTTTTACCTACATTTGGCAGCTCTGGCGAAAGCAGATTTCTTAACAGGAGACTGAGGAGAGCATCGTTTCTCGAGACTCATTTTCAAATTGCTTGTTTCTTTTGTTTTGGAACATCAAGTTAGAAGTGTAGCACAGGTATATTTTTTTAACATTTATATAGTAATCCAGTTGAAAGAATAGCACTAGTATATACAGGAAGACAAAACCCGGACACAACTGAAACTTGTGTCTTGTAGCAACCGTTCTTGACTTACTCTTGTCGTATTTTGTACATGTATTATGATGTAGTTATGTACTGTCTGTTCGTGGTAGTACATGTATATGGAGAGTACAAATTAAGGACATTCATAGATCACGCATTATCACAGCAACTGATAGTTCAGTATTCTCATACGTGGTTACACACACACACAAACACACACACACACACACACACACAAACACACACATGTGAAGTCATGTATGTCACAAAGACGAGTACATACACACATAATAATATTAAACACACACGCGCGAGATTTCTCTGTATTTGCTGTTCTAGTTTCAGTGCATTGAGACAGAAATGCAGACTACCCCCCACCCGGCCCTCTGAAGCCAATACCCCCTCCCTAAAGCGATTACTACATTTTTGTGAATTGTTTGAATAACTACACATGTATACAATTTTCCCTTTACAATCCCAAACCACCATATAGCTTCGTACCTTTGGAGTATAGATACACAATGTGCCTTTCTGTGTTCTACACATAAGTCAAAATGTATGAATTAACGTAAAGCTTAATTTGTTTTACTAACTACTGACTGACCCACCTGTAAGATTGGGATATTACGTAAGTTGGTTCTTTTACCCCCTCTCTACGACTCTAATTTGTTTTTGTTTTTATTTACTTCAACTTTCGCCTCAAAACAACACTATTACGGTTTATGTTTAATTGTTTGCAAAACGAGAAAATAAAATAACTTTTGCTACTTTTTACGTGGATCCCTGCGGCAAGAAGACGATACTAGTACCTGTAATCATGCCGACTATCTAATGACAACAGGTGCGAAATATCGACGCGTCTGCTTGTCAATATGAGACACAAATCTCACCCAAACAGACACGATGTCATACAAAAAGACGTAAACTTACCGTCGTCGGAGTCGTCTTCATGTTCACAGTGTAAGTGAGCATCTTTTTGGTACACATCTCTGGCGAAGTGTTCTCTCAACTTACGAATGGCGTTTTCACTTGAAGTCTCCCTGCTTCCATTGAACATTTTAACCGCCTGCTGTGTATCCCCTCGACAAGCTACACTCCCCAGCGCATGTTCTAGACATCAGTGGAGATCTGACATTGTCTCAAGGCCAAGAGACGGTGGAAAAATAACCAAAGTTGCAGACAAGTTTCTAATCGGCAGTAGTATAATCAGTGGTGGGTTAGGAGTAACATATATCCAGTCCTGGGGGCAGGTTAAAACTCAGTAGACGTCCTACGACAGGCTAGCAGTTGTATGCTCGGCTTCCCAGCGTTAGAGTGTTGTGTCTGGCGGGGGCAACTGCTGGCAGCCGGGCGTGGACGACTTCTGAGCTGTCAATCAGGAAGTGGTTGAACAGGTTCACCTGGTCTGGGTGAGGGGAATTCCTGACATGCGTACTAGCGAGGGGAGACGATCCGTAACTTCGTCTTGTAGAAAAGCCAATCTTTAATTATATGAAGAAGAAAAGGTACAAAAATTTCAATAAATGATATGCTCTATTTATTATTCTTAAGGTAACATTGCAACTTATTTACATTTTAATTATGGGCAATGTTGCAGGACGTCTTCCAATGCTTCTCCCAACAAACGAAATACAGGCAGTAGGGTTTGAAGTGCAGTAAGGAAATACGGATTTTTAACCACTTTAAACACGAGTGGTCATCCTGTAGTGTTTTACGTGTCTAGATTTTAGAGCTTGTTTATAATTCCTCAGAAGCAGCTGTTAGCTACTCGTGACTGAGTCTTTCTTCAACACGACCAATTTCACGAGGAAACTCTTTGTTCAAACTCCTTCAAGCATGACAAGTTTTCCACCATATAAGATCCCATAACAGACAAACATTCTCTTGAGTTCAAACTTTTTGTAAACAACTTCATGCTCGATCGCGTTCGGTCACGAACTGGTTGAACGACGTGTGTATATAAACATTAGCGGTGGTTGAGGGTCAAGATTCACTCTATACTTGTACTGTACATGTATGCGTGACTTTCGTACAATACCTGCCTGTTAGTTCCCTCAGCAAATATTTGCCCAGTGGCGAGACTATTATTATAATCTAAGGAATGTTGTTCCTTATTCGGGACCGTTCCAAAAGACTCACCAGAATTACTACAGAATTGTCTACCAATGGGCACTGACAGGCTGGCATAACCCCCCCCCTCAAAAAAAACAAGTCCAAGAAAACCCGATTAAAAAAAGGCTAAAAACACGCCAAAAATAAGCAAAAGCCCAAACCTCTGCTTGGATAGTAACAACTATTGAGAGGCGCAAACATGATATGCCGACGCCATGGGGCGTAGCCTGGATGTCAGACTCTTCTCGATTTAAGGGCTAGTACACAGGCCAGCCCCCAGTTAGATTCCGTAGCCCCGTCAGCTCCATAGCCCCGATAAGTTGACCCTGCAACTGAGGAGTTAGCCTGTGTACTGGCCCTGGTATAGCCTCTACCAGGCTTTGCAAGGCGGCTGGAAAGAGTAGAAATTGACCAAATAGATAGATAACATGCCGGGGGAGTTGCACCGGGGTGCTGAAAACTGTACTTTTCTAGCGGACCCCCGGCAAGTTATTAATCTATTTAGTCAATTTCTAATCTTTCCAGCCACCTCCCGAAGCCTGGTAGAGGCTAGCCCTGGCAGCAATCTGACACCCAGGGTACCCCAATGACCGACACAGCGGTGCGAAGACTTTTCAGTACCAAGTACAGACACCATGACTATGTACAAGTGCATGTGGATGGCCATTTCAGCACCAAGGACAGGCACTGCAGTGCACGCATGAATAGGATCTTTGTAGCAAAATCACGAAAATCTGTGTCATTAAGAAGAGTTGTAAGAAACCAGCACGTAGCCAGCACTCCACAGTTTATTCCTCAGCAAAAACAAATGAAGTTAATCGAGTCTAAAACGTGAAATTCCATGTTTTTCTGATGCAGAATCCCCCTTCAAGCTGAAGAAACTGCGGTGTGCAACTGCTACTACTTGCGGCAGACGTCACGTGACGAAATGCAGCCTTTTGAGTGGTTAACCTCCGGATGATGACGTCACTTCGTTGAGGTATCTTGCTGGTCGACTGTTCGCTGTTTGCCATTTTCCACGGAGAGTTCTGACTCTGTGAGTACGTTTTTGTCGCTAATTTACCGCCATCTACCGAAAATCCGTCCACAGAACGTATCTTAGGCTGATAAAGATGCATAGTGACTCATTCACGGTGGATTATCGTCCATAAATAGAACGGAAATTAGTCGTAAAAATTATGGGTGTACGTGCTAGCCGTTTTTGGTGGGGAGGGGGGCGCGTGGTCTGTCAGTATGCAACAGAATTCGTCAAATAGCATTGCCATAACATCTGCAGTGTGTGTAATGCAGCCTAGTATAAAATGTGTGCTATTAAGTCTAGTGTATGAGTAGTTTAGACAGGACGCCGTGCATTATGCCTCCATTGTATGCAAATGAGGTCAGGCATTGCGTCTGATTTTGGCGGGAAAATATGCAAATGAGCTCGAGAAATTCAATGCAACTGCAAGTTCATTGCGTATATGTTTGACCAAACTGAGTGTTTTTGTCCTGATTATTTTTCTTGTGCATAATTTACAGATCAGCAATCCACTGTCATCATGAGTATGGGAGGTCGTGAGCCTGGGTAAGTTATTATAAGTACCAAAATGTTTTATAATAATGTTAACTGTAATTATATATGTTTTAAACTCTTGCAGCAAACCTATAGAGATGAGAAGAATAATGCCACTTCTTTTAACCCTACAGTAATAATGAATCAGATATGTACAGATCGACCAAAATGTTTTAAATTACAAGGTTACAACACTGACCTTGAATATTAGGTTAGTCATTAACATAAGTCTGAGCAGTCATTGTATAGGCTCTAAAACTGTTGAGAGATTTCTTGTCATGTGGTAATATTTTTCATTTCTTTGCAGTAAGCTGTTTGTTGGTGGGCTGAACTTCAGCACCACTGAATGTGAGACTTCCACTTTTCTACTTATAATATTAATGATTGTATTAATCATTAATGTACATAGGTGTACTTTGATCATTTTATGTTTGCCAAGCATTAGGTAGAGCATGTTTTACATGTTAACATTACAGACCTTATAAAACTTAAGTTGACAGTCTGTTAATCTTTCATATTTCATTAAACTTTCTTTGAGAAGTTTCCCAATCATGCACCTTTTTATTAAGCCTTGTAGAATATAACTAACATAGTTTTTTTATATAAGAATTTGATTTTGCATGATAGGATTTTGATCCTTTTTCTCATTCCGTTTCCCTCAGCCTCTTTGGGTGAGACCTTCAGCCAGTTTGGGTCGATCTCAGAATGCAAGATCATCACTGATCGCGAGACAGGGAGATCTCGGTATGTTACAGGTCCCTCAGTTGGAACATTTACTACATTTTGCATCTGGTACATTGTAGGACTCATACTGTATACATCAAAGAATGTTGAGCCAGGTTCTGAAGTATGAAACTTTGAAAGATACATTTAACTCAACATGTTGATTTATCGAGTATAGTTGTACATGACTTCATTTTGTATGCACGTGTTGTGTCACGAAAGATTTCCATGGTTTTTATAGCTTAAAGTGATATTACAATTTACAATAACTTTCAACATTTCAACATTTACAATAAGTTTCAACATAGTGTCGCTATTTTGCTTTTCTGATGACTCAGCACAGCGCGATAATAAGTTGCATCAGGCCTGCTGTATTTTTAGGAGGCTCCTAAAAATGTAAACAAACCTTGGTTTTCGTTCGGGTATCTTCGGCAGCTTCCAACATGTTTTTGCAGCGCAACGACGTTGATCTTTTACTCCCCAAGTGATTATGAACCCAGGTAGGCTTATAGAAAATATTGAAAATCTTACATAATGAGATATCACAATACTTGATATTTGTGTTCTAGTAAAAAAATTAACGATGTATCAGAATACAAAGTTAAGTACTGCATGTATTTTCCACCAGGGGTTTTGGCTTCATCACGTTTGACAGCCCGGATGCGGCCGCTGCCGCTCGCTCTGCCATGCACGAGCAGGAACTGGATGGTCGCACGGTACGTTTCTCAACAAATATATACTTAGTGTACGATAAATACTTCAAAGCTTATGTGTGTGTGGAAGAGTTACATGTAACCTATCAAACCAGCTTACCAGTGAACAATTTATTGTACATTTATTTGTTCGACATTACAGTGCAATGATAAACTTGGGGACCAGAGTTCTTATGCCTCTTAACTATGCATGTGTGTGAAAGAGTTAGCTGTTACTTGTAAAACAGCTAACTATGATTGTGTAGAGTTACATTAACAAACACATAATCACATACTAGTATTTTATTGTAATGTTTCATGCTTTTTTTTACTGTCAACAGATACGTGTGGACTATGCCAACAAGCGTGAGGTAATGGCCTGTTTTATGCTTTCGATGTTGTAACCTGTAGCTTACCTGTACTAAGGCTTAAACTGTACTGTGCTGTATAGATTTACGTACACTTCAGAATTAATTGTTTGGGCTAAATGTTGGGTTCATGTGTCTGTCTGGAAAGAGAGGTTGATAGCACACGGGTGAGGTAAGATTGATAAGCAAACTGTCAGAATTCAGGAATCTGAGGGTTGCGTGAGGGACCCCCCGATATTTTCCAGGTCTGAAATCTCTGATTTCTTGTTTACAGTACGGCTTTGGCGGCCGCCGCTGAGGGGAAGAAGCAGATAGAGGGGCGTGGCACTGTTGCTAGGTAACACCACACAGGTGGTCAACCATTGGCCTGGATACCTCCGTTCTTTGATATCACAGCGTAGGGAACACGTCTTCCAAACCAGTGGAACAAACAACGCCGGTATCCGGTCTTCAGGTTCCCGTTCCTCCAACTATAACCCATTGGAGTCTTGTAACAGTTCGTTCTCTTTTGTTACTGTTGAAAAAACATGATGTTCTAACTCTCAATGACTGTAAAGATCAGTTCACGTAACTATGGCTGCTTTTAAAAGAAAGGCACTGTAAGCAAAAGAGCAGCTTGTTCTTTTCTCTTCATGTCAGAAAATGCTGACAAAAATGATAAAAACGTTGATTCTCTTTCAGTTTTATCCATGTAACTAAGGTACATCTGGGAGACATTTCCCTTCTTTACATTTTAGGATTGAGCATTTTTCGTTTCTTTTATTACGATTGAGTAGCCAAGATTGAAAGTTTAAGTTAATATTTTTTTAGATATTTTTTTATTTCAGAAAAGAAAATTATTTCTCTCGCAACAATCTACAAAATAATCATAAGAGATTGAATCTCCATATCACTTTAAAGACTGAAGTATTTAAAAAAATTGTTTTTCCATTTTGTTATGTATTATCAGTGAGCTGGTTAGGTGTCATTTTGACACCAAGAATTCAGTTTTTTTTTAAGATTCTCATCATCATGATGGAAGTATGGTAAATGTGATGAAGGAAGGTTTTTCTGGAAGTAATTGTTGCATGTAGCAATTATATTTGACAAGTTTAAGAGAAACTGAATGCTCAATGTAAGATGCCATCAGTGTGTTCCAGTTTATATTGTGAGCAAGTTCTCAGCACTTTGAATACCAGGCTTTCTTAGCTTATATGGCAATGTGATATCTTTCATTTTTTAGTGTGCAATCATGCAAATTCTTCCAGTGAAGTACTACACTTAAATATTAAGACAAATCATAGATTTTCATTTTTGCACTTAAGTGTATTGGCAAAGTTCATTGGTATGCTTGTGTTAAATTGAAAAAGCTGATACCTTTAAATGAGATTTTAGAGGTGACAAATGCCGAATGCTCATTGGTCACCAGTTATGATTTAATTATGGGTAAAGAAATCAACTTGATTGACACAATCTTGGGACTGAGGACCAAATGTGTGGACATTCCCTAAGTTGCATTCCATCATGAGATCAAGGCAGACAATTTATGTGCCATTAATTATGTAAAAGTAACTTTCTTGATATAAAATCTACCTTTGCTATCCTTGGATGTAGTAATGTTGAGAGTCTTGGAGAGTGAGGTGTAACGTATTACCTGATGAGAGTTTATAGTTTCCTAACTTTGCCTGGCTACTTGTATTTTGTAAACTGGTTTGCTGTTAAAGATGTACAAAGTCATGTCTGAATAAAACGAGATGAACAACACAACTCCAGATTGCCACATGTAGTTACTGTACTAATATGGTCAGATTTAATATTTCTTAAATCATCAGCTAGTAGGATGGAGATACACCTTTTTTGCAAAGATTTGATTTTCTTTTCTGCACAAGTACCCCCACAATGGCAAACAATCATCACTGACAGCTTTGATTATTTCATAATGTCTAATATGAATACTTAATCTATAATGTCAATTCTTAAATCCTTCATAAGGCCATTTTGTGCCTTGATGCTCTTCATAGGTTTAGGTAACTATGTTATCGTAAATTTACATTTGTCACAACGCTAATGTGCTCTGGTTTAATATCTACCAGTAATAATGTACTACCAGTACTGTTTCAATTTCGAACTTAAAACACTGCAAACACATTTTCTGTTCTACTGATAAATCAAGTCTCCACAAACTTCAAACAACGTACAGTAATTTTCCAGAAGTCAATATATGATAATACAGCAGTAACTTAATCTGTTTCTGTTACTAAGGATAAGCGAGCAGTTTCTATTTGATAGAATCTTCCCCTTGGTATAAGATAATGTTTCATCAATGCTGTAAATCGATAGGTTTCTACATTATGATTTGATACTTCTGTGGTGTAATTCGATATTTCTATACAATAATTTACATACTTTACCATAATATATTACACTTATTACTTTAGAGTGATTTGATATGTTACTATGTAATACAACAATGACAATCACTAGGAGGGCTGAAGGCCATAACAATTCATTTCATTGAATCTTAAATGAAGCATGCAATATAGCATCATAAATGCAGGGCTAGGACAAAAACATAAGCCTGTCTTCACTCAATAAAACTGTGAACAAAGGTACAGACATAAATCTCCTCAGACCCTGTTTTTATGCCTAACATTTTCTATTTCAGCATTATGCGTACATTCAAAACTGGTGAGGGTAAAAGAAGTGAAATCTGGTCTGTGTTTAAGGACTCTTATTGCTTGTTTTCATAGGAAAAACTGTCTAAGGGACCACCAAAACGTGGTCAGATTGACCAGATGGTCCTCATGTAGAGGTGGTCACTTGTACAGGTATGACTGTACATTTTAAAGGGGCCTGCATGGGGGTTCCTGAGAACACTTTACGCTAAATTTGGAAAGCCGGCTACGTATTACGCTGAATTTGCTCCTCATTACGTTTCACGATATATTCTGGGTAGTTACAACGCATTACATAGAATCAAAACAGCATTACGCTCTACACAAAACGCGCTAATTACGCTCTACGTTGAATTAGAGTTCTACGTAGAATTAAAACGGCTGATAATGCTTTACGGAAAAGGGCATGCAGGCCCCTATAAAGCCATGAAGCAACAAATCAAATTGTTATGGCCTTTGATGAGATGTCTCAACATGGTTGACATTACGTGAGTTTTCTACAAAGCGTCAGACAGCGAGCTGTGGCTGACGATCCACCGCGGGCGCGCCACCGGGTCACGCCCCATCCGCACATCCTGGATAATCCTCTCCACATCCTTGGGGCGGCGAATCTCCTGGGAAGAACAAAAAGGTATCTTGCAAGGCACCTCCAATTTGATATTATGGTTATCACAGGCAATAGAAGTTTATTTTGCAAATCCATGCCCGAAGGCTAATTGCAACTTACAGTGTATACAACATACATCAAGAGAAACAATTGACTATTCTATTCAAAACAAAATCTAAACTTTGGGTTATCAGAGTTCTGAACAAATTTTAAGGATATTGGCATTTAGATATTGGCCTAGAATATATGCAAGATCTCTAAACAAGCTTTTTGAAGTTTGATCCCAGTTGCACAGCTTTCAAGATATATCTTCAGTACCATGGACAGAGACAAGTACACAGCCACCCTCTGTATGTACTTGAAACAGACTGATTTTCATTTTTTTGAAACTTTAGAAAGTGTGAAGAATGGAATAAGCAGTGTTTGAACATCCAAAAGTTCAAAGTACATTCTACAATGGTTCTGCTCCCAACATACCGGTACTCAATTCCCAAAATAATCAATGCTGTAAAGGGTTAAATTGAGATGAGTGGCATGCAGAGCATTCTGTAGGCCTGCAGTAGTTAGAATGATACTAGCCTACCCTATCTTACCCCCCTTCCCAACTTGTTTACTCACATAGTGTATCCCGTCCATGATGACATCAGGAGGAGTGTTGTCACACGGCTCTCCACAGGTTTCTCCCCATAACGTGATGAGCCCATCTGACGTCGTCTGGCCTGCTTTGATACCTGTCACAACATAGAATTTACTGTTTTCAGGGCAAAACATTTTGTTCCAAGTTACTTCCAACACAAAAGAGACATGTTCTCACCTAGAGATCTCAACATCACACTTCAGAGAAGCCCCATGCCAAGTCTTACTGGGTCAGTCTACTGAGGAAGACCAGAGTAACTGGTTGAAAGCTGTGAGAGCATTTACCTTTACCTTTAAACAACCAATGTAACAACCAATACAGATGAACTTTCATGACTTTACTGAACTTATTTCTTAATGAATTGATCAAGGTAATCCAGGGCATCCAGGTAATAAAATGGATTTAGAAACCGGTCAGGCATTTCAGGTATCCACAACTTTTTTTTGCTATCATATGCCGCCAATTTAAAGCATCTATTTCCTCATTTTGCTCGGCTGCTTTATACGGTATGGTCCAAAACTTTTTTTCTTGGAAATGTGCGAAAATTCATGCGCGCATAGATGTCATCCATACAATCAAATCAACTTGGCCTGAGATGAATTGCAATATTGCATCAGCTAAACACTTGACTGACCTAGCATCCTCTGCACAGCTCTCCGTACTGCATGGATTTTCTTGTGTTTCTGTCCACATTCTGTCTTTGTACATATCTGCATCAGGTGCCTGCAATTCACAGTCATTGAATTCTTGTGAATTCTTGTGACTTAAATTTTGTGTATGATGAATTGCTTTCACTTTAAAAGCTTGCATAAATAGGCTACCAGGTGTTTTACAGGAATTAATATCTAGAATATCCAGTGAGGTATATTGCAGAATGGAATCAGCAGAACTATGCAATCAGAAATGGCAGGCCTCACCCCCTTACCCATACTGCTATGTGATCCAGTCCCAGCTTGCTGTTACAACACCTTTTGTAAGAAAATAAGCCAGGAGAAACTACTAGACTATATCTACTAGTACTAGCTAGGTTTCCATATAGCGCCCCCTTGCGTCTTTACTCATAAACTCACCTCCCAACATACGTCTTTCCTTCTGCAGTTTCATCTATAGCATTGGATATCGCCTGATCAAAGGGCTGCCAATCTATGTAGGACACAAAATTTCGTCTGTCAGAGTTACAGTTATACAATATCTTTCAGCAAAATAGGAGAAAACTTCTTAATGTCAATAGTCATCTTTAATGTTACCAATGGCTTGTCCAAGTAGATGTTAAGATGTTTTGTCTTTCATGATGAACATTGAAAAAAAAAAATATTTCATAGACTTAACTAACGTTGCCATATATGAGACCAGCAGTGAAATCAGCATAAATGTCAATTGTTAGTGATTTAATGTTAGTGATATCACAATTGTTAGTGATTTACTATGCCAGGAAAATGAAGTAGCAGAAAGCTGACATACGTTTTCTGAGTTCCTTTTTCTGTTTGAAGGCGGCTGGAAGGGCTGCAGTTCTTCCCTCTTTGGGACTGACGTCATTTTTCTGTATCAAAAAGTGATGATGATTAACACACATTGGTAGACAGTTACGATGCAGTACGTCATCTGAACTCAAGGTGGCGCTTTAGTCATGGGCTGTGGACTAAATGCGAATACACTGTTCGCCACAAATATCGATATCGTACACTTTACAAAATACTAGTAGTCTACTTTACAACTTAGTCATAGAAAACAAAGCAGAGCAATCCCAATCACAGACCTACATGCAATCTTATTATGACACATGGAATAGCTATAGCGCTAAAACAAGCACATGGACTTAAAATTCCTGAGCACTGAGATATTCATGTACAAAACAAATTCAAGTGACAGCTAGTAGTGGCTGTGCCCATTTAAACACACGTTTCGCAAATAACACACCTTTACAATGGAAACCGCATCCGCATTTCGTCCGTCTGACGTCATCAAGATCATCACCATGGTAACCATCATGACGCATAAGCAGACAGAAGCCGTCTGTGCCATGGCGCTCGTACCTACGGTTCTGCTGAATATACCGTGAATATGAGGTGTAAATTAAATGTGCTTTGTTATGTTTACCGAAGGAAAACATTGTTTTTGCTCAGTTTCTTCTTCTTCTCCTCCAAACAGTGACCTCAATGACCTGAACCAAAGTTGTGTCTGTTACCATGGTAACTAGTGTTGGGTTACGTCATGTTGCAATTTCTTAGCAGAAGGGATTTAGACTCCTGTCTGATCATATATATGAATGTGTTTGGGTAAGAATTAACAGAGCAGACCTATGCGAAGTTAAACATTATGCAGTTGCTTTGCAAATGTTACCTTTCAAGTTCATATATCATTAGCTTTCAGACATCAATACGTACTCAGAGATGGAGTATTTTGCGCGAGATTTTACATTTCGTACGTCTTTTTAACAATGTGCTTTCCCTAAGACGAAGAGTAAACAAATCCATCATTCGTACAAAAAAAAACGCACTAACAAAAACATGCTCTGACTGAGCCGTATTAGAACCCGGACACATGTTAAACTGTATGTAAATACCCGTAGAAAAAAGACAGATTTTCTTTGTAACCTTCAAAGTTTCGTGTGACCTAAACACGGTTCCCCGCTTCAGGACACAAGTGGTCTCAATATATCAAAGCCCGCCGGTTAGTGTGGGTTATATTTAGCGCAGTGCACTTCACCTCAATGTCACCTTACTATAACGGGCTACAGACATGTCTGGTTACACAAGGGATCGATTTTTAGCGTTGGCCGCATACTCAACGCCCTGAAGTACGGGAACTGAGTACTGCAGCTGAAGCAAAGGGAGTTAATTTGGGAAAAATTGTCCGCATGAAAATTTTTCGTAATTAGATACAACTAAAAGATTTCGTTCGGCCCACAAACCACGTGACCGCTCCCCCCGTGACCTTCGAACTTTCTCAGTTTGTTCTGTTTTTGGGGGAGACGGTTCATGTTTTCGGTCCGCTCCGCTTGAATTTCGAGTCATCGGTATGGAGAAGGAACCTCGGCGCCATCGTCAATCTAGGAGGTGTTCGGTATGTCGTCTGCCTGTGAAGGGACATCCGGGCCCGTGCGGTCCAGGGAAATGCCAGTACGAAAGAGGGAAGGGAGCGTCAGACTCGGACGTGTACTTTTCCCGCCTGAAGGACACGGTTCGACATCTGAGGAAGGAGAGCAAGGTGGACGAGATTGCGCGGCGGGTATGGTCCGAGAGCACATCGGATGAGTCAGAAGACGTCCTGACGCCCCGGCCCCGTTCTTTGCCGGTCAAGACAGCAGACCTGTCTCCGAGACGGGTGGACGGGAACCAGGCTCGACACGCGAGGGCTTACAGTGAGCCACCAGAAGTTCCACGCCTGAAGTCTGCGTTCACGAGCGGTCAGGAGTCGCCGGCGACATCAAAGCATCAAAGAAAGAATCGGACTCGGAGCAGTATACTGTGAGGGATCTACGGGCGTCGAAGAAGTTGGTGAGAGAAGTAGACCAAGTGCTGGAGGGTTTACTGGAGCCAACGTCTCGTGCAAGGGGCAAGATTGCTGAGAAACGAGGAAACCACCGCTCCAGCTCCACATCGTCATGTGGCAGTAACAGTAGCGCTAGCAGTGAGGAAGATCGGCCGCACAGAGCACGCTCGACTCGTTCGCGGCGTTCTAGGCAACGTAGACGGCACAGGAAGCGGAGCAACAGCAGAGACAAGCGGCATAGAAAGCGGAGCAACAGCAGAGGCAAGCGGCACAGAAAGCGGAGCGACAGTAGAGAAAAGCGGCACAGAAAGCGGAGCGACAGCAGAGAAAAGCGGCACAGAAAACGGAGCGACAGCAGAGAAAAGCGGCACAGAAAGCGGAGCGACAACAGAGAAACGCGACACAGAAAACGGAGCGACAACAGAGGAAGGTCGAGAGCTGCTTCATCGCGTAAACGGGGAGAAAGGAGTCGCAAGAATCGGTCCAGTTCGGACAGTTCGTCGTCCCAGTCGCGTTCAAGAGACAGGCGTCAAAAGAAAGGTAAGACAGGACGCACTCGTACCATAAATGATGCTAGCTCCGCTCGTGTTAAGATAGAATGGCCACAAGAAAGGGCTCATTTCCCT